CCCCTTCGAGTTCGGGCCCCGTACGGGGACCCGAACGCCCGAACGTTCGGGGGTCAGCTTAGGGGCCTCCGTACGTTCGGCCTGGCAACTCTGTTTGGAGGCGATAGTGGTCTCAATACATTCAAGACGTTCTATCCGCTCGAATGTATCGGCCATAATGTAATTCCAGATCCATGTAGGGTGTTGAGCAGTGGAGCGAGGCCCACCCTCGAATCATACTTGGATAGACATTTCTGGTAGTTTCATGTCTTGCCCCTGAAGAAATGCTGCTGCACTTCCATTTTTTTTGCCCCTTTGAAAATTTGGGCCATTTCTCCATTTAATTACCTGTGTCATCTCCGCGTAGGGGCCGTGCTAATCGTCTCTGATTCATTCCTCTTTTTTTTTTTTTTTTTTTTTTTTTTTTTTTTTTTTTTTTAAACAGGGGCCATGCTAATCTTCTCTGTATCATTCCAATTGTGACGGCTGTACCAAAGGACATGCCACTGTAATTCCTCGACGACAAATCAAAGAAACACGCACAAATCTTTTTTTTTTTTTCCATTACAAAGTACTTGATTCACGCTGAATGGTAGATTGATTGAATTGTTGTGTTTGGCCTCCAGTTCTGCTGGGACCGTAAGCTAAATTGGCTGACGCTGCCAGGATAACACCGGGTTCAATTGTGAGGATCCCCGGCCTCGAACGATGTGTTTTCTTGCAATGAAATCAATGTTGGTAAAAAAAAAAAAAAAAAAAAAATTATCAGTAACCAAACCATGGCCAGGTAAACTCTGACCGAGTCTGACGGGGAGATGCACGCGTGTTTTTTTTTTTTTTTTTTTTTTTTTTTTTTTTTTTGGGAACAGATAAAGTGCTACAACTTTAGGGGCCAAGTCCCCGTTAGCAGCTTTGAGTTTCCTCAATGCCTGATTCTGCACGTGTTTGTGGAGATGTGCGGTTGAGGAAACTCTACGCGATTTTCTGCACATCTCCACAAACACGTCCAGATTCAGGCGTTGAGGAAACTCAAGGCTGCTACTGGGGCTTGGGCCCAGGCGCGGGCAAGGTCTTTTTACAGTTTAATAAAGTTTAAACTATTTTAGTATTTTGAACCTTTTCCCTTCCCTGACTGACAGGTGATTAACTTTTGTAATGTCGGATTGGCGTTTGAAATGCTAAGCTATGCAGCCCACGTGCGTGAGTGGTGGACACAAACAACAGTCTGTTGATTGGATCAGGACATGATGATTTCAAAGCATAACGGGATCAGACCGAGACATACAGTAGTGGGGCAGCGAACAGGGCGGTTTTGGAACTTACGTGCCATACAGAACCACCGGCAAGATCTGCAGAAAGAAAGTAGAAGAAGACACCTTGGGAAGGAAGAAGGAGAGGGTGTGGAAGTACATGCTGCTTCCTTCGTGAGTGTACAGTGGCCGCTCTAGCACAAATCCTTCAATCGAAGTCAAGCTGTGGCAAGAGACAAACCAAGTGGCAAAGGAACACACACACACACAATGTGTGTGTGTGTGTGAGAGAGAGAGAGAGAGAGAGAGAGAGAGAGAGAGAGAGAGAGAGAGAGAGAGAGAGAGA